ATCTATCTATCTATCTATCTATCTATCTATCTATCTATCTATCTATCCATCCATCCATCCATCCATCCATCTATCTATCTATATCTATCCTCTATATCTATCCTCTATATCACCTATATCACCTATATCTATCTATTAATCTACCTACCTACCTCTTTCTCTCTCTCACTCTGTCTATATGTTTATCTCTCATCTCTCTCTCTCTATTTTTCTCTCTTGCTGTCTATGTCTGTCTGTCTGTCTGTCTGTCTATCTATCTATCTATCTATCTATCTATCTATCTATCTATCTATCATCTATATCTATCCTCTGTATCTATCTATCAATCTACCTACCTCTTTTTCTCTCACTGTCTATATGTTTATCTCTAATCTCTCTCTATTTTTCTCTCTTGCTGTCTGTCTATGTCTCTCATCTATCATCTATATCTATCTCATCTGTCTCTGTGTATGTCTCTCTCATCCTCTCTCTTTATCTTATATCTATCTGTCTATCCCATCTATCTATTATGTGTGTGTGTGTGTCTTCTCTCTCTCTCTTATATCTGTCTATCATCTCTCTCTCATCTACCACCGCTCCCTTTCTCTCCCTCCCTCCCTTCTTCCCTCCCCCTCTCTCTCCAACTTTAGACCCGCACGCACATACCAACACAACGTTCTCCCCAACTTCCCACCTGCTGCGCTTGAGGGCGGTCTCCACGTTCTGCCCTCGGTGCTTGCGGTAGAAGTCGATGAAGGAGAAGGGGAGGGAGATGTTGAGAGGGTTGGCCCGGTGGGGGGCAGCCGTCCGCTTCCGGGCCTCGAAGGCGATGGTCAGGTCGACCCAGGCCGCCGGGCGCTTGGCCTTGAACATGGCGATGAAGTCTTCGCCAAATATCTGGCAGAGCAGCTTCTCAAAGGCCAGGTCCACCCCGACAGCCCCGTAGGGACCTCCTGGAAGGAGAGCCAAGAGCAGAGGGACAGCAGATCCGGTCAAGGGCGAGGAGGTTTCTGGGCACCTTCTGGGATCCCCAGATAAGAGCCTGGATGGTTCTTCTCGGACAAATAAAAGGGGCTCCCCAGGTCCCCTCTGATTTGGGGCCACCATGGACAACTCAGGTTTGTCCCAGAAGAAGCAAACCTCTCCAGAAATGGCTCTGGAAGCTTGCTTAGTTCTTTTTTAAAAAAATACTTTTTATTAAGTTTTTACACTTTTGAAAACAAATCATATATACATTTTTGCAGTAAATTGTGGCATCGACTTTTCCATTTCTATCTATCTATCTATCTATCTATCTATCTATCTATCTATCTATCTACCTACCTACCTACCTACCTACCTACCTATCATCTGTCTGTCTATCTATCTATCTATCTATCTATCTATCATCTACCTACCTACCTACCTACCTACCTACTTACCTACCTATCCATCTATCTATCTATCCTCTCTCTGCCTGCCTGCCTTCTCCACCCATGCCTGCCTGCCTGCCTACCTCTCTATCCTCTCTCTGTTTATCTATTCTGCCTGCCTATTATCTCTCTCTCCATCATCTATCTATCTATCTATCTATCTATCATCTATCTATCTATCTATCTATCTATCTATCTATCTATCTATCTATCTATCTATCATCTCTCTCTCTGTCTCTATCTCTATATCTGTCAGTCTGTCTGTTCGTCCGTCCATCCATCCATCTCTTTACACACACACACACACACACACACACACACACACACACACCATGTACATTTTGCATTATCTTTTATTCCTATCTTCAGTTCTATCTTACCCAGAGGTGATATTCAAAGTAAGTTCTGGCCAGTTCTGGAGAACCGATAGCGGACATTTTGAGCAGTTCGGAAAACCGGCCAATGCCACCTCTGCCTGGCCCCGCCAACTCCATCTATTCTCCGCCTCCCGAGTCCCAGCTGATTGGCTGGGTCTCCTTTGGTTGCCCTGCCCAGGAGAACGGAGCTGGAAAGCAGGTTAGTGGGATGGAGAGAGAAAGGGAATTTTGGGGTAACCTTCCCCTGGAATGGGGTAGAAGGGAGATTTTACAGTATCTTCTCCTGCCACGCCCACGAAGCCATACCCACCAAGCCACACTACACCCACCAAGCTACGTCCCCAGAAATGGTAGTAAAATTTTTTGAATCCCACGACTGATCTTACCCCACTCGGTCTCCCATCCAAGTTCTAACCTAGCCTGTCCCTGCTTAGCTTTGTGGAGAGAAACATGGAAAAATAACAGCAGAAAAAAATACATAGTGGTCCATTGAGTTTGCTCTTTTAGGTTTTTTTTAATTTTCTTTTGAATATGTGCATTTGTTGTTTTGAAACTCAAATACTTTGGCCGCCTAATGAGAAGGAAAGACTCTCTGGAGAAGAGCCTAATGCTGGGAATGGCTGAGGGCGAAAGAAGAAGGGGACGGCGGAGAAGGAGGGGGCTTATTGTTAAAATAATAAGATTTATTACGTGTAGCAAAGTAAGAACAGAGTACCGACATTGCAGTAATGAAAATATATTAATTGTAATCGTTACTGCACAAGATATTTGTACCCAGATGACACACCATTTAAATGGAAGATGGATTGTTTGCATAAAATAAAAATTTAAAAATATTATTTAAAAAAAAAGAGAGGCTGGGGGGGCTGGATGGAGTCACTGAAGCCGTCAGCGTGAGGTTAAATGGACTCCGGGGGATGGTACAGGACAGGAAGGCCTGGAGGAACGTTGTCCATGGGGTCGCGATGGGTCGGACATGACTAAGAACAACAACAAATTTGTTGTTTTTATTTATTATTTTATTTTTTAAAATTTTTGTCAAGGTTTATCTCCAGCGTATTTAAACTCAGTGACTGATGACGGAGTTCCGAACGTGCTGGGCATTAACATATGTCCATAATTGAAACAAAAATTAAACACTAAAATTAAACCTAGATTAAACCTGGCTCAAGGCTACCATCTGCTGGACGGATCTACTGTTAAGGTCTCAAGAACAAGGGAATTCTTCAGTGAAAATCAGCTCGGAGCTATATCACTTGACTAGATTTACAAATGGTTAAAATAATGATTGCTTAACTAGGTTTAAAAATGGTCTTTTGGGTGGAGGCTGAACTCACTTTTTGAACAACGGAAAGAAAAGGTTTATCTTTTTCCAAGATTTTGTTTTTCTTCCAATGAGCCGTTTCAATTGTAGTCGCTCGATGGCGCTCTAGGATAAATAAAGCAACCTTTTTTTTTTTTTGCAGGAAAGGAGAATTTTTATAAATCTTTCATAGAGGAAGTTATGGAAGAAACAACCAGAGGCTGCTTTGTCCTCAATCTGTCTCCTCTTTTTGTATTTTCTTTACAACTTGCAAACTCACGCCTATTGCATGCATTTCAATCTGCCTGGCACAGCCGAACGGTGTACGTTTTTATTGTATTGCCAGTTTTTGTACACTGAAGTCTCAACTGGTCATGCCCTTGTTGGAATCTGATTCTCGGGGGGGGGGGGGGGGATTGAGCAGCTGACAGGGAGTGGGAGTGTGGCTCCGGTGGCTGTAGAGGAAACTGGGGAAGGGCACAGGCCGGCTGGGCATTCAGAGGAAGACCCAGGCCCACCCACTCTTCCTCCTAGGGCATGCAGGGAGGAACGGAGAAGGGAGCAACATGGCTTATGGGAGAGAAAAAGGCCCTGATCCATTTCATTAGGATACAGGATACAAGTGGGGCGTTTGCACACAGCTCCTTGCTGGAAGCAAAGCGTGCATTATCTTTGTCGATGTTTTTCGGGGTTTTGGCATCCTCCCAAACTGTGGGTGCTGCGTTATCCTTTGAAGGTCTGCAATTTATCATCCTGGCCTGCCGTGTTAATTACTTCAGTGTGGTTTGTGTTGGTTTTTTTTATTTCTAATTATCTTTACTTTGGGTTCGGACTGCGTTTCTGCCCTTTGTAGACTGTTTGATACCCAGCCAAGGATAATTGGACATTGGGGCCAAGTTGGAGGCATTAAAAGGGAATTTATTCTACTTTTGTGACTTTGTTATTTTTGTGTCACGCCCCTTTGGGTCTTCACAATTCTCTAATTCTTCAGTCTGTAGATATAGAAGAGTCCAAGGCCTGTAATCCTCTACATATCTCAGATGCTGGGGCTGGGATCAGTTCTGGGTTCAGCCAAGCTGGTCAAAACATTAAAAGCTGACACAACACTTGGAATACCCCAAAAGTGCTTTTTCAGCAGGCAAACTGGACTTCCTTGTTTTATTTTTCTTTGAAACCTTTCACTTCTCATCCAAGAAGCTCTTTCAGCTCTGACAAGTGTGGGGGTAAGAATGGATTTCCAGGGGAAAAAAATTGGACACTACAAGAACCATTTGCGCCACTCAGGTGACCCTGAGGACACAGAGAAACCTTCAAGTGGCCTCAGGGACCAATTTCACTTAACAAACATTTCACTTAGCAACGTAAATTTGGGGCTCAGTTATGGTCGTAAGTCAAGGACTATCTGTATTTAAGAAGTAGATAGTATCAAATTGCTGTCCTAGATATAGACGAGGACACAACTTTGTGTGTATGAACAGATTTCCAGAAAAAATGCAGACTACAGGAACCATTCGCACGACTCAGATAAACCTCCAAGTGGCCTCAACTATTCTGTAAAATGGATGCAAATGACCAGCTGTTTGCAAGGAATATAAATCCTTCTGTTCCTCACCATCCTGTCAGAGCTGAAGAAGCTTCTGGGATGGGAAGAGAAACGTCTTTAAAGAAAAAAACAAACCAGAAAGTCCAGTTGCCTCTTGAAAAAGTACCTTTGGGGCAAGCAGGAGACCTGGAGGGCTGAGAATCTCCATAGACTTTCTTGGTTGTTTTTTCCTTGAAGAGGTTTTGCTTCTCATCCAAGAGGCTTCTTCAGTTCTGGGCTAGGGTTGAACTGAAGAAGCTTCTGGGATGAGAAGTGAAATGCCTTCAAAGAAAAAACCGGAAAGTCCCGTTGCCTCTTGAAAAATAAGCACCTTTGGGATGACCTGGATGACGGAGAATCTCCAGAGACAGATCTCTGCAGACTTTTAACACTTGAATAGTTGACACCATAACAACCTGGAGGGGACAAGAGGCAAGGACAGGAAAGATATGATTGGGAAAAGACAGCCCTTCCATTAAAATTTCCCTCAGGACAATATCCACCCCTCCATGCCTCCATGTAAGAAGTAATTACGCACCCCGCTCACAGAATGAAATATTTTTGGGGATATCAAATGAGGCAGAATATTATAGTGGGGACTTTCTGGAATGCTGACAGGCCGCAAATGCAGGGGTGGGATTCAACATTTTTAACAACCATTTCTGTGGGTGTGGCTTAGGTGGTGGGCCTGGCTTGGTGGTCATGTTATTGGCTGGGCGTGGCCAACTCAACATCACTCACAATCGAGGCACGCATCTCCTCGCCTGGCCTCTCATGACTGTGGGGATGCTGCAGCAGTCGTAAGTGTGAAAAACGGTCATAAGTCACTTTTTTCAGTGCCACTGTAACTTTGAATGGTCACTCCACACAAGCAAAGTACCAGCAAAGGAGGGGAAAAATAACTCCAGAAACATTCCAGAGACAGGAAGTCTAGTCCTGCCAAGAACGTAATAAGGGTTAACAGAAAGGCAGTTTCTGTAAGCAACACCAGAATGTTTCCTTCCTGCCTTCCTTACAGGATTAGCCCAGTAATTTCTTCTAACAACCGGTTCTCCGAACTGCTTAGAACATTAACAACCGGTTCTAGAGAATAGGTGCAAACCTGTAGAATCCCACCCCTGCCCAGGACAGCCCCGCCAGCCAGATCTAAATATCCCATGGGCCAAATCTGGCCCTGGGCCTTGAGTCTGACACCCATGTTTTAGAACATAACAGGCCTAACTCACCACCATTGAAATGGCACAAGACGCCAAAGACCCTTCACTGCAACAATCCCCAGAACAGTTCAAAGTCACAGAAACCTCTAAAGCTCCGTCAAGCAATTTGTCAGCTGTCCCAGAACAACATGCTGTTGGTGGTCCTGCTCATCGATAAACCGAGTCCTTCTTTCCATGCGGCCTCCGTTTGGTTTCCAGCCACCTTCCTCCCGGCTTGGAACCGGACCGGGTTTTTCTTCCAACACCCCCAAGAGACCCTTCCGACCAGCCTCACCTGACGCCTTGTAGAGCTCTTTCAAGGTGCCCTGGGGTTGTTCAATCTGATGCACTGTCAGATCCACAGTGCCCCCTCCGCAATCGGCCACGATGTAGCGATCCCCTGGCCAGCCAAGGAAAGACAGGTAAAGGCTTTGCTTGTTGAAGGGATGCCAGAACCTCACCCAGGTTGCCCACCTGACATTTTTAGGGGGAATAGGTGCACGGAGCAGAGGAAGAGGAAGCGAGACCAGGAGTGGGCTGCTAGGGGTTCGCAAGGGTTTGGGAGAGCCCCTAGTTAAGATTCTGTGCAGTTCGGAGGACCCCCAAATTCCACTCTTGGCTGGCCCTGCTCCGCCCACCCTGCCCCTCCCCTCCCAGAAGTCCCCACGTGGCCCATTTTGGATGCAGGTAAGTGCAGGGCATGCACGGAGGCTCGGGGAGGGTGAAAAACAGGCGTCCCGGAAGTTTGGGAAGGCCGGAAATGGCCCGTTTCTGGCTTCCAGAGAGCCTCCGGAGCCCGGGGAGGCCGTTTTTGCCCTCCCGGAGGCTCAAGGAAAGCCTCCTGAGTGTGGGGAGGGCAAAAATGCCTCTTCCCGCCATGCTGCCGGAAGTCGACTAGGCCACACCCACCATGGCCACGCCCACCCAGCAAACGGGCAGAGAACCCCTTGCTAAAATTTTTGAAGCCCACCCCTGAGGGAGACCCCCATCCTGTGGGCATGATATCACACCCGGTCTTCGTTCTTGCTGAGGCCAATGTCTCTGACCAGCCTCTTCCGTGCCAACGTTGCTCTATCTGGCTTTCAAGCAATTGGGCCAGTCGGATGGGTTGGGACTCCCACGCCCAGCCTTCCCAGCCAGCCAGCCAGCCCACCTCACCTGTCTGCATTTCCGACCAGAGTTCGCCCACCCCAGACTCGATCAGAAAAGTCCGGCTGTGCCTGGACCGGCGGAGCTGTTCTCGAGCTGCGGGAAGAGAGAAAAAGGACCAGAGGGTGGGATGAGATCCCTGGCGATGGGCGAAGAGCAATGAAGAAACGGCCCTGAGCAACTCAGGGTGTCCTTGTTGCTTCCTTACAACCAAGCTTAGAGAGCACCCCACAATCCCGCTCCTCCTCCTCCTCCCCCCTTCCTCCCCCCTGAAACCCCACACTCCTCTAGCACTGATAATGTTACCTAGTTGGGTAATTAAAGGTCTGCAAGAAAACCATAAGTTCAAAGAGTACCAAAGATTATTATTATTATTATTTCTCCTCCTCCTCCTCCTCCTCCTCCTCCTCCTCCTCCTCCTCCTCCCCCCTGAAACCCCACACTCTTCTAGCACTGATAATGTTACCTAGTTGGGTAATTAAAGGTCTGCAAG